GGTTGGTGAAGCCTCCTTGTCATGACCACAGACACCACACATCAAGCCAAGAGCCATCAACACCACAACAAGGAGAAGAATGCAGGTCAACCCAACACCAGCCATCCATCTGAAAAACATTAATTCCAAATCAGTCCCACATCATGCATGAGATAATTAATAAAAATAAATTAATTTGTAGATGAAAATTGCTTCCATGAGGGTTTTAAGATCTACCAGTCAGCTGATTCACCCTCCGTTCCACTCCAAATTATTTCAGTTTGAAGTGAAGACTCAGCATCTCAGCATCTCAGCATCCACTCTGAAGAGTCAAAATGCTCTCTCCAAAAAGAACTATGATGTCCACCATTCTTATTTTTGGCAAGTCATTCAAGGTCACTTGCAATGATGCCCAGTCCAGTAACAGAAAGATACATGAATCAACCCTTGCTGGACTGGAGATAAAGTGATCTGAATGGTTCATGTCATTGACTAATTATAAACCCCCTCATTACACAGCCTTTGATATGCAATAAATATATCTTATTAGATGTTTGGTTGTGTAGTATTGCTGAGTATTTTTAGGAGTTGTGCTGTACTTTGATGAGCCTGTAGGGCGAGTCAAAATACAAACAACAAGTAAAAATACTCAGTGATACTACACAACAAAATGTCTAATAAGAGATTTATTGAGAATAAATATATCTTATTAGATGTTTGGTTGTGTAGTATTGCTGAGTATTTTTAGGAGTTGTGCTGTACTTTGATGAGCCTGTAGGGCAAGTCAAAATACAAACAACAAGTAAAAATACTCAGTGATACTACACAACAAAACGTCTAATAAGAGATTTATTATCCAACACACCAAATTGTTATTTCAGTGCAGGCAAATTTCGTGGATACTTCTGGAGTACAATATCACATGATATACGAAGCACAGCTGGATAATAAGGGGGTTTACTGCAATACTCACACACAGAGCAATCTAGCATTTTTTACAACTTGTTTTCAATCATGTATTACACTCATCTAAATAATTATAAACTGTCCATCAAAACATAACTGATGCAGTTAACAAAATTGTGTTTTTTTATTGCAAAACATTAAAATTTAACCAAATGTTCAATACCTTTCTCCAATTTTTCAGTGTTGTTCTTAAGGCTCAGCCCAACGAATACAAAACCTATAACCTCACCTGTACTTGTCATAAGTTTCTGCTTGTTTTTTGGCCTCTGGGATGGTATCAGTTTTATATTCCTCAAGTTTTGAGATGACATCCTATTTACCAGAAAAAAAGTCACCCTATATCACACCTGGTCCCAGTTGTTTAAAAGGTGGATCATGATAATTTATATCCAGTGGACAAACTTCAATCCCATGGATGACCCAAACAGTTTTGTAAACATTTATCCACTGGGAAAGCAATCTATCCCTAGCATCCATGTATCTACCATTTGAAAAACTGGGCAGCTAGCAGACTGTTTTAAGATGAAAGTCTACAAACTAACAAGAGATGGAAACACACTGACAAGGAGGGATGGAAAAACACTGATCTTACTTGGACAAATACTTTTATTAGTGCACCATTTTTTTCTTAATTTTTCTCCCAGACCTGTCTTTTCTATCTCCAAAATAAAAACCAAAGTATTATCCATGGAATGCAATCTATTACAAATGCAGTGTTGTTTTTAAACCATAGACATATGTTGAGCTGAAGACTCACATCATTTGCAATTTTCTTGAGATCATCTCTCATCTTGTTGACAGTGCTAGTTGCATTGCTAATCATTTTTCTAATATCTGCAAAAAAAGAAAAACAAACAAAAAATAAGCAAAGGAAGATGACATTGTCAGATTTACAGTGAGTAATTTCCATTTCCAAACTCCAAAATCTCTCTAGATAACTAGCAACAGAACAAAGCAACAGAACTAGCAACAGAACAAAGTGAAAATCATCTTGACAGGTCTTCCTTAATGAAGATAGATGATGGTCAACACCTTTCACTCACTCAGGGGTTTCATTAATGTTTTGAGCAGGAGGGCAACTAGTTTTCACAGGTGGAAACTGAACTTCTTTATAAGACACACTTTCCTCCAGATCATCCACCCAGGTGCGCAAAACCATTCTCACAACTGGTCAATTTACCTGGTGCCCAGTCCTTAACGAAACCCCTGACTCACTGTCAAACATACCCCTCTTCTGCTTGTCAAAGAATTTTAAGCATTAACCCTTTACCAGCAGGCAAAAAACCTTATAATTTGGCCATACAAAACTTAAGCTCACTTTGTTTGTCGTTATATGAAGTATCTCTTACAATATTTGTGGTCTTGAGACACCATGGGTTCAGACTTTGGGGTCACGTGACCTAGATCATCCGCTCATGTTTGGATGCGTTCAAATCGATTCGTTTTCTCACGTTTATAAGTGTTTTTCGAGCCATTTTCCCTCTACAGAAGCCCTCAGGACAACATCATTAAGCTGGAATGTGGGTAGAGGCAAGCCTCTGAAAGAAAACAGAGGTGAGAGGTGGTTTCATGTAGACTGGACTGCCAAAATGCTTTCATGCAAGCTTGGCGAGTTCATAAGTGAAGTCGTGTCTCTGACCCATCTGTGGATGGCTACCAGGACCTACCAAGGCTTTTTNGTACTTGTCAATAGACTTGAAAATCTCCATTTGGTGTTTTCCCGGGCTGCTACAGGACAATGACAATGTTTCTCACTTGACTTGTGGTTGCTCAAACCGTAACCCTAAACTGTAACCCTAACCCTAAAACTGTAACCTTAACCCTAAACTGTAACCCTAACCCTAAACGGTAACCCTAACATCAAAATAAGGTAAAAAGGTCAATGGAATTCTGCAACCCCAACCCTAACCTTTGGGTTAAGTCGAGACTCGCCATAGCTGTCTCCTGAGTGTGTCAAATACCTTATTCAGGTGATTTTAATTGTTTTCATTATTTAGACTAACTCTTTACCGTCCGGCAAAAAACCTTATAATTTGGCCATACAAAACTTAAGCTCACTTTGTTTGTCTTTATATGAAATATCCCTTACAATATTTGCAACGGATATAGAAGCTCTCAGGACAGCATCATTAAGCTGGAATGTGTGTAGAGGCAAGCCTCTGAGAGAAAACAGAGGTGAGAGGTGGTTTGATGTAGACTGTACCACCAAAATGCTTTCATGCAAGCTTGGCGAATTCACAAGTGAAGGCGTTTCTCTGGCCAGAGTCTGGATTGCTACCATGACCTACCAAGGCCATTTGGGCCATTTTCTAGTAGCAAGAGTCTGGATCGATGTGATATTTTGCAAGTAGGACTGGGTGGTCCGACACTTATAATAACTTACTAAAATGGAAATGTGAGGTGTTGCCTTCTCGAGTTGTGGTGGAATTTCTCAGAATTCTTTTCGGTCATAAACGAGGCATAGGTTGTGTTTGCGACACTAGCTTTCATCAAAAGGAAGAACAAGGGCTAGCGGATAAATTGAGAAGGCATTTTCCAGCCAAACAGCAAGATCTGGCCCTGAGGTGTGTTTTGAATGCAAACCTTTGATTTCTTGAGCAAGTTTTGATCTTTAAAGATCAACACTTTTTCAGTGTTGCTCTTGGAGCAGAATGCTGGACTTTTGGGATTTGTTGTTATATGACTTGTTGTTCACTGCAATGGAAATCGCGAATCATTGCGGGTGTTTTAGGCTGCAGAGGGTGTCACATCAAACAGCCTTACAATGTACACACTTACATAATGTTGTCTCTTAATTTCAACAAGAAACAAATAACAGTAAAAGTAGTAATTACTACCATGTATGCGTGGCTTGCTGGTAAAGGGTTAAGTATTATTTTAAGAAAACTTACTCTACCTGCAAGTAAGTTTGTCTAATCCCATCCTAGGTTTATATTTACTGTGGCATAAATAACATATTTATATGAATCTCTTCAATGTGTTTAAAGGTGAATCTCACTCTTAACAAGAAGGAGATAAATTACACACAGTTCAGCCATGCTTGTACACCAGCATTGTTTCAATTTACTTTGGAAATCTGTCACTTCTATGTTGAGTCAAGGATCATATCAAATCCTCAGACTTATTTCCTAATTTGGTGCACAATCACTGTATAAGATTTGCATAGTAATACAAGACTTGTGTAACAAAACAACACTTGCATCTCAAGTCATTTTGAGTGGTGCATAACATTGTTTTTGGACATAATTTGATTCTAAAGATTAAATTCCACGTTCTGTTTACCTTTCCGTGTGTCAGTTGTGTCATTGATGACCTTTTGGGGAATGTCCCTAACTTCTGCAAGTCCCTGCAATGAAAGAGATTAATGTATGGGGCTATCATTGTCTGAAATCCATCAATACACTTCAAAACAATGCATTTCAAGAAATGCTACCAGTTCAAAGACACCCAATCTGTATAAGCTATGTAGTCTTTTGGGTTTACCTTTCATTTCCAGATACATTGTTTTGAATCAGAATCTGTAAAATTTAGAATCTTTGGGGCAAATAACTATATCAATGATATCATTGGCTTAATGTGAACACGGAATAACTTACTTCATTGGCTGTCTTCTCAAAGTCCTCATTTACAACATCTTCAACACTTTTAAGTTGTTCTGAAACATCAGGAAGATCTGTAAAGTTTGCTCCAGTAGCAAGGTCATTTGGGTTGGTATCATTGCAGGCACCTGGAATACTTGGCAACTTAGCGCAACTTTTCAAAATCTCTGTCAAGTTGGTTTTGACTTCATCCAGACCCGATTGAAGTTCTGTTGTTGAGTTTGACAGACTGCTGCTGGTGTTTCTGATGCTCTCAAGTTGATTCCTCATTGTTTCAGTGCCTAATAAATGAAATTTTTCAAGTACTCAGAAAGGATAAGGTTCAAAAATACAATTAAACTGCCATCATTTTCTAACTATAGCACAAATTTGTTCCTGAACACCACAATTACGCCAATATATGTGCAAATGTACAATGTTCATCTAGGGGTTAAAGACACTCTTTAGGAACTTTTACATTTCAAGCAAACTTGGCAATATACTGTTAGAAAGAATCAGTAAGAAAATGGATTACAGTTGTGGGAGAAAAGCTGATTACATAGAAAATGTTATGAAATTGAAGCAAATAGTAGACAGTACAGGGTTGTGGTCTAGCAGTGCCCAGTGGCCCCTGGCCCATTATTTTCACCCTTGGGGCGACTTAGGAATTTTAGTTTTTTCATATTAAAGCATATGCTGGGCACCCACTATTTCAAAGTTTCAGAGCAATGTGCTCACTTTACTTTTTCTTAGAGCACAGCCTTGCAAAACTAACACTAAACCAATGGAAAATTAAATCAAATAGGAGAAAAACCTCTTGCTTCCAAAGTCACCCATTTTTTAGTTTTTTTTTAATAGTCCATTTTACAGTTGTGTGCTTGGCTGCCAAGCCTCTGAATGGGAGTGAGGCTGAGGGCAACATCTTTATAATACAAACATTGCTGCTTTTCAAATGTAAATCACTTTGTTGTCATGCCAACTAGATGCTGGTCTCTATCATGACAAGGTCACCTTCAGCCTCACTTCAAATCAAAGGCTTGGCAACTAAGCACACAACTGTAAAATGGCTTATTGTGCAGCTTGTATAGATGAGTAGGAGTGATATTTCCCAAGAAATTTAATTTTTAACATCAGGTAAAAGTAGTTATTATTTAGCAAGGTAGTCCTGAGGTAAAATTGAGTGTTCTGACCGGTTCTGATGTGGTCCAGATTTTCTAATGCAGATCTAGACCATTTCTATTTAAAAGGCCATAAACCACGTACTTTTGTTTGTGAAAGCCAGCATATTAAAAATAAAAGTTTAGTCTGAGTGCCATACAACTAACTAGTGAAGGTGTAGTCTGATCGTCCGGGTGAGTGTAGTCCTGAGAAGGACTGTTGTTGGTGGTAGTGACTGACGTTTTGACAACCTGTGCGGAAGTCATCATCAGAGTCAAGTGAATGATTGTTGTCTGTAGAATGTTCTTATTCCAGTTCGTGTGAAATGATCGGTTGGTTTTGCTGTGATGTTATTAGCTGTAAGACTCAAGTGACGAAAGTCGGTTGTGATTGGTTTGTTTCGATCTGTCAGTAAAATTAGGTCGTTCTTTTTCGGTCATTTGTGATGTTTATGTCGTGAATGAGTCGTGTGACGGACGTTTCGATAACCTGTGCGGAAGTCATCATCAGAGTAAAAAGTTAGTAAACCAGCTTTCCAGAGTCAGTCGTTGAAAATAGTCAGTGCTGTAGGTTAGGCATTGCGCAGAGTCCCAGTCAATGTTGTGGTTGGTAAGTCGATGGTGTTCAGCAATGTGATTGCTGACATCACCTTTCCTTGTTGCCCGTCTGTGTTCAGTCAAGCCATTTACTGCATACAACTAACTACTTGCTCAAGCTGTGCTAGGGAATATTGGCTCTCGGTCATTTCTGTATGAACCTTACTGCCCTTGGTCCATACTGCCATGACTTCAGGGCTAGTATTCAGTTAAAAAGAAGTTGTTATAAATTGAGTTTGCCCATTGTATTAACCATTTAACTTCAAAGACCTGATTGTTTATTCTCCCCTTTACTTGTTATACATCTCCTTGAAACTAGTTACGAGTACTCGGCGCTAGATCAAGATAGCAACTTTTATCTGTTAACTTTGAGTATTCTCGTCACCTGTTTGCTGGATCATGTATGGATATTGTTGGGAGAAGTTACATGTAAAGCACTTGTGGTAGTTAAAGGGTTAACAATATGTAAAGCATGAAGATACCATGGTGTACTCACTCGCAGCCAAATTCTTCACAGCTTCTATTGGCTTAAGAGAGACTGTATCTAATTCCTTCAGTAGAGGGTCACCCACTACACTTTGAAGTTTTTCATCAGTAATATCAGTTGTCAACTGATTAATCACAAAACCAAAGTCAACACCAAGGAGTTTGTCAACTTCCTATGAACAAATATCAAGTAAAATAGCCACCATGGTGAATTATTACGATACACGATGAACAAGGTTTTTTTTGGTACAATTTCCTATGCTCAGGTTTTTATTGAGATCTGCATGGTATGATTGGGCAATGGTTATGCCACATTATTACTCATAAAATAAACAAGATACTAACAGCACCCTGATTAGTCAAAAAACCTATCCTTTATTACAACCATAAACCCATAGTTACCCTATTTTATAAAAGCAATTACTAAAAACTAGATCATTGGATAATGCAATTCAAGACTTTTTATTGGCTTAGCCATTATGGTATATCAGCCAATATACCATAATCTACAAATATGGTAAGTATACGTGTCACCTTAAAATTAAAAGGGAACTAAAAGTTTAATAAAATTTAATAATTTAATTCAACGCTTTTAATAAAACAATTATTCCACTCACGCTTGTTGGATATGAGATGATTATAGCCAATTCGGCGCTATGCGCCTCATTAGCTATCTATCATCTCATATCCAACGGTGCGCTCGTGGAATAATTGTTAATTAGTTTACCAACTTAATAACACACTTGAAATGTTGGAAGAACACTTGTTACAAAAACTTTGTAAATCACTTGCCTCTGGCTTGTGATTTACAAATTCTTATCTCAAGTTCCCTTGTATGTTATTACACTGGCTAACTCATGCAAGGGTGCAGTTAAGTGTACAAGTGGAAATAATCAGAAGAAGACTATTCATTTGACGATGCTTGCGACTCCTTTGCTCATGATCTAGTCAAACCTAGACTCATGGTACCAGGTCTGAGAACTTGCATTATGATTGGTTGGTTGTTCCCCTTCAACTTGTGATTCCCACAATATAGTTTTCATTGGATAAGAAGCATTGAAATCACAAGACTAAGTATAATTGGGAGGAGAGGAAACTATAGTTACATAAGTATGCATAACCTCTATAGTGTTCTCTGTACATTTCCTACATGTAAGGCGCTGACAAAGAGAATTTGTTTAATAACCAACAAACGTTTTTCACAAGTCAATGAGTCAAGTAGTAAACGGATTCAGATTCAACATCTTTTTTAAATGGATCTATGGATTTGTTTATTAAATCACAGAAGAACTATGGATTTGCATCATACCCCTATTCACCCCCCCCCCTAACTCCAGGCCTCTTGCTATTCACTACCATGAATGATCAGAACTAAATTCTCTCCACCACTTTAACACACTGTCAAGTGTGAGATTTAGAGAGAATCAACATGTGAAATTGTCTCAACGATCAACACTACCTTTTCAGGACTCCCAAAAAAAACAGAAGTTTATTACTGGTACCAATAACAACAAACATTTTCTGTATCCAATGTCAGGAATAGGTGATATCGTCACAAAAGATAAATAAATTTTAAAAATTTCTCAACTTACCCCTACAGTACGGTTAATAAATTTGACTGCTTCATCTATAATAGCATCTGAATTGGTCTGCATCTCATTGACAGTTTCACTCATGCGATCATTGCAGACAAATGTCAGCAAGACTCCCGTGCTGGCAAAAAAAAAAAGTTAAAAGACAATTTACCCAGAAGTCATTTTCATATTAAGGTATGTAATATCCATACCTTATCTGGTAAACAGGTATCAAGAATAATCAATAAAAACAATACAAATAACAAGATTGTACACAAAATTATGCATAACTGTACATTCTCCAGTCCAGATCGATCAATTATTTAGCACAACAAAACATTTGCAGTGGACAGGCAAATGGCCAAAAGATGATGAGAATGAAACAAATGCTCAAGGTGTCCAAGAGCAGTACAGGTGTCAGTTGACAGATGTTGTAAAGAAACTTATCATACCTTCATAGTGTACCCTAATTTGAGAGTTTAAGTATTTCACAAAACATCTTATTTTCTCCACCTTACATGGAAGTTTCATACTTGTAAACAGTATATGCAACAAAATTATAATATTATTCCTATTCTAATGTGAATCTGAGATCTTCCTTGGATAGGAGAATGGTAATAGCACACAAGATTTCTTCCACATATTAGTTGCTAACAATATTATGATAAATAATATACTTAAAAAAAGGAAAGTTAAGTGAGAGACATTTGTTTTTCATTGATACAATGTAAGTTTATTACTTACAACATCAGAAGTGTGATCACAGTAAGAATCACGGCAAACACAGCTCTTTTGCAGCCATTATTTGATCTCTCTTTCTGTGACATCTCCCCACCACATTTTCCACAGCAGCGACAGCAACAGAAACAAAACCCAACAATTGGCATAAGCACACAGAACAAAATACCAATTCCCACACAAACAATCATTCCCATGGCATAGCTTTTAATAATCTGTTGAGAAAAAAAAAGGTTTAAGGTGGATTTCCATTTTAGCATACTAAAAACATACGTAAAGAAAATGCTGTATGCAATTTCCACTGCTGCATAATAATCAATGCCACATGTTTTGCTTTTATATGCAAACACTGCATGCCTGAATCATCTAAGTTGATGGCTTTACGCTCACTGGCTTGTAACATGCATAATGAACATGTAAACCTCTTAAAAACAAAAATGTGGTAGCAGAAATGAGACAATGTTTACTAAAACGATGCATTTATGCATGTAAAAGTTCATTTCACCTTAATTAACTTTTTTACTGCCATTTAGCGGTGTGGACAAAAATGTGACAGAAGAAATCCAGTACGAGTTGGAACCTTGCTGGAAGATCAACTCTGTCTATGGCAGAAATCTTCCCCAAATGCCAGCACAAAAAGCTTAGACCAACTTAAGGCTGTTGTCTATTTCATAAAGGGGCTCCAGTGTATGCAGGTTTCAATGTAACAACAAATATTTACAACTTAGAGATAAATGTACACTGTATGTAATACAAACCAGGTAATCAATAACTAACAGCTATCTGTCAGAAGTGAAAAAATCAATTTTGATTTTTGACATTTTAACTGCTTGTCTTGTGGTGCAACTTCAGACAACAAACATTCCAAAGTAGGTAATTTTACCATTATTACATAAAATTATTTAAAACTCACATCATTCTTGATAACGTCTTCTTTTAAGCCATCTTCCTTGATTTTAATTAGAAGACCTGAAATAACAAGATTCAGTTTAGAAAGTTTACCAATTCATGTATTTCATAAAACTTTAGGAAATACTGTTTGCAAAGCTGAAAATTGTTCATTTAAAAAATAACTTGAATAGGTTGTTAGCTCAGCATGTAGAAGCAGACTATTAAATAAACATGCCACAGCACTGTTTTACAGATTCCAGCCATTAATAATAATAATAATAATAATAATAATAATAATAATAATACCTTTATTTATTACCTGTGGCGATAATAATTACGGTAATATTACAGTAAAAAAAGTTGAAAACTCAAAAATTCAAATTAACAAATTCAAAACACAAGAAATATATATACAATTAAGTTATGTCAAATCAAGTTAAGGTGGTTGAACACAGTTTTTGATACCTGTGTTTCTTTCACCTTTTTCTCTAAAACCCTTGTTCTCTCGGTCGCCAAAACTGGCAGCAAGCAAGTTAACAACACAAACTTTGTTTTTTTGATAGTTAAGCTGGCGTATGTGCCATTGCCATGGTAATATGACTAAATATAAACAGGCCTTTAAAATCAGTTTTTTGTATTTGTAGAAAATCTAGTCATTAGATTTAACTGAGAGATCGTTAATTATCCCTTGTTGAAGGTTCACTCGATCATCTAGAATTTCCTTTGTTAAAAATCAATTTGTTTCAATACTCCAGTTACTTATTTCCTAAAGTATTTTCGTGCCAAATTTTGGGGAATTCTAATGAGTGGTTCTCAAGAAATAAGGATATTTCCAAGAAAGCAATTCTCCATTCAATCGCAATTTGTTTACTTACTACAAATATGCTGCATTTAACTGGGTTCTTTTGGTAACGACGAAAAAGCTGAGAATTGCTGGGTTCTTTGCTCCATTAACTTTTCCTACATGTCTTTGTAATAAAAGATTAAAGCCCTCAATACACTGCACCAACTATAGAGAAAAGTAGCACAGATAGTGCGCATACATGTTGAGTAAATAAAATGATCGCTCTATCGACAGCATGTTTGTTTTTTTGCAATCCTTGTGCGCACGCTGAATTGCATCAGCAAAAGCGTGCCCGAAAACTGTGTTCAGCCACCTTAAGTTTAGCACCTCTGGGAATAAAGGATTCCTTGTGCCTAATAGTGCATGATGCAGGTATTCTGACAAGCACTGGGTTCGTCTTACAAGATCTTAAGTTGAAGTGGAATAAAAAAGGGAGGCTTTTGGTGAAGAAAAACTGCAATTGTGAGAGTAAAAGGCTCAAACCTCCAGGCAGGAGAAGGTGGGGGAGGGACGGTTAAAAGCGTTCTTTTTTTCCCCCAACTTTTAACAACAGTGCAAATTGGGCACTGGGGATCTGAAAATTCTCTAGCCATAACAGAAATTTTTAGCAGACATTTCCATGGCCTAAGCCATTTCCTGTTCAGACATGAAGCACATATTGTTCTAAGCTTACAATGTTATCCAGTCAGTTCCTTTATCTTTTTTAACAAATTTGACATGGGCCAGATAGAGCACATAAGCTGATGTTTCTTGTAAAAGGGCCTTGGAGAGCAATCTGTTGAAAAGTAACTGCACAGTTCTTCAAAGTAAAAGAAAATGCGACAGGCAATTGGGAGGTGATGACAGGAGAGGTGCAAGTTTCTGCTCATCAACATAAAAAGTCTGTAAAATGCTATGAGTTTGTGACCTCATAATTCTTTTTTGAGTTTTCAACAGATTTCTCTCAAACTTTGAATCCAAATTGATTTTGAGGATACAATGTATTTTTCCAGCAATTCTGATGAATGTTTGCAAACAATAACCATGTCTATTTTTTCAAGATCCGCAAAATTACACATTTAAGTCTAAAAGTTGGTCTTAGAACGTCATGTGTTTTCAAAGTGCACACACTAGCAAGAAGAATCTTTACGATCTGGTGCACGTACGAATCGTGAAGCAAATCATTACATATTTGATATTGCCCTGCCAAAACACAAAGAAAATTTATTTAAACCAGAGTATGTCGTGTATGTACGTACGAACATCCAGAGTATTAATCCAAATGAAAGCCAGCAAAAACGGTTAACAACATACGAGTTCAAAATAACTTAGACCGTCTATTCAATTCAAATTTCAAGCATGAACTACACTATTTGTCGTTTAAGCTTACTTCTCTTTCGAAAACGGAACGAATATCGACTCGCCCCGTAATTAAGATACCAGAAACCCGGTAAAAAACGGAACGATAGAGAACAAAGCATAAAACGGAGACAGTGAGGAAAAATATTCATCTGTACAGATTTTGATAGCGTGAAAACGACCTAAAATAACATTACGCATCTCACGCTCCGGCTCGTACGTTCCCACAAACAACAAAACCCTTTTGATCAGAATGCAATATTTAAATTGGATAGAATCATTCGGCCTTCCTTCCCTGTAAGAATTATTTGACAGTAATCTTCCACAGAAACCGCACAAGTGGGTTCAGCGCGACTGGAAATGTATTAGGTATTAGGTATGAATTTATTTTTAACAGGGGAGAACAGTGCTTTCGCGTAGATCTTTCAAATTGCACGAAACTATCTGAAAACGCCACTCTCACGCACTGCTGGAGACACCACACACAAAAAAAAAAAAAAGAAAAGAAAAACACAATCACGCGACAGATGATAACAAATCCTTCAGCAATGTACCGTTGAGAGAATCCCTAAGTCAAAATGACAATATACGCGACAACCCCATGAATTTCAGCCTATTTCAATTCAACCTTTACCTTCGTCATCGTAATACACAATCATGCGTAACAAAATCCGCAGAAATGAGCTTTGTTAGAGATGCTCTAAGCCACAGATCTTTGTTTTACCATATAACACAAACTGAACACAAAATGGATAAACCCACTCACCGTAAGGGTCTTTACTGAGAACTGTTCCGATGAAAGAATTTGCGAAATTGTACCAAGGTTGTAGGCCTTTCGCGTCGTACTTTGTCTTGAGATCAGATCCCTCTGAGCTTGTATCTTCAAAGTTGTCATTCCATTTTATTTTTGTGCCGTTAACTGTCGGCGCTGTCGGCGCTGTCGGCGCTGTCGGCGTTTCACAGCTCCCATAGACAACAAAACAAAAGAAAAACAAAACTAGAAATGTAGTTGCCGGCGACGACATGTTTGCCAATCACTCTGCCAAATCACCTTGAAGCTTGCTGATGTTGACTTTCCGCGTAATGACTTGTACGATCAAGTCTTTGCAAATAAATCCGTGAAAAAACAGTTTGTCTTTCACTCAAAATTTGGTAAACAAGAAGAGACTGAATGTCACGAGGTTCTTGATAATTTTTCACCTAGGAAGTGAACCTTTTCCTGAATTTTGCAAGCAGCACGTTCAAGCCAAATTGCATCAATTCCTTTGAGACCTCTTCAGATAATTCATGCGGAACTTCGTCGTTCTGAAATTCAAATACCTGAGATTATTTGCAAATAAAGGTCTAGTTTGCAAACCTCTAAAGCAAAAAGAAAAAGAAAGATATCTTTATAGCTTATGTACGTTTCGGTTTACAACGCCGTGCTTCATATCGTTGAATTTCTCAACAAGTGAGAATCGTTACGTCACGTAATACGTCACTTATGGAATCACGCCCGATTATAGTTCTCTTTGTTTACTCTCTTGGATTTCATTTCCCTAGAAACAAATCTCCATCTAAACAAGATATTGACATGGTAAAATATCATTTCGACTCGGTTCTCAGCTGGAATATTGTTGTTTGAGCGCCGAAATCACGAAAATTGGTGTGCACCTTAAAATTTGCAAACCTCAGACTGTTGAGAATATGAAACAAGGAGTTATCTTTCTTTTCATTCCAAGTAAGACCAAGTGTCTATCCTAATACAGCGATAAATACAGCAGTTGTTAATTTTATATCATGGAAATGGAAATAGAATATTTAAATAGGCGTTGTTGCTATGAATTTCTGAGACATGCGTAAAATCAGAAACACCCATATCTGTTGCTTAAGTACATCTGCTAAATTCAATGCTTAAAAACCACGAAGTTGATGCTTCTGCGCTCTTCAATCTACAATACCAGAATTAATATTAACTCGACAGCAAATTCATCATACCTGAATAGGGGAAGGTGTCCCATTAAGGGTCATGTTTAGGAATTTATGTTAAAAAAATAAATAAATAAATAAATAAAAAAAAACAGACAAGGAAACTGATAGAACATTCATAAATTTAAACAAAAACTAACAGCTTTTAGGTAAACGTGACATGTTAGTCTAGACCAAGATGAAAGAGTTAATTCTTCCCTAATGTACTCGTAAGCATGAACCAGACAGATACAATTTTTTTTCCAGACCAGTAAGTAAACTATTCATGTAGTATTTCAGCGACAGACACTTAATTAAGAGAAATATTTCAGCAGGTACGTACTATGAGAAATTTTTTCTCAGGACAAGTGGCAGAGGATTTATAGCAAACCACAAGGTTCCTTTTGCAGTAACATGTCATCTGTCCAGCCGTCCATATCATTAAAATCATTACTAATAAACATATCAATCATCATGATTCCTCCCTTTTAGTATAAAATGCATTCAACAATATGCTCGACGTCTGTGCACTTTCTAACACGTTCGGATTTATCGACGTTTCTCTAAACAAGTCATACTTATTTTCAATTATGTTTATGTCAAGCGACTACGAACTGCGAGGGGTACAAAAGGAAGCCCTTTTGCGGCATTGACGGAGGTCCTTTCGTAAAGTTTCTTTGACAAAGTCGAGCGAAACGAACGTGACGGTAGATGATCATTTTGTTCGCTCCTTTTCCAGCTTCGCGGAAAAAAAAGTCATTTGACGATTGTTATCAGGAAATCAGAGCATGATGTAATTCTAAGCATTAAAACTCTTGAAGAGCAGGCATTTTTGGCGATGAAACATGTACAAAGAACTGAAAATAGCGGCGAGGGGATGACCTCAGGGATTGAAAAATGCACTGAATCGCCATTTAGATTTCACCCGGCAGCAAAAGCAGCCAGAGGGCTCTGTGGCCTCCAGTGAAGTCAGCGCGCGTAGCGTTTGAGGTCAAAGCGACAAGATAACGTCAATACAATGAGCAAGAATCTTGACTCTCAAAGCATACCTGAACACTGCGAGAAATCCACTGCATTGACGAGAAATGAGCACACGCCACAGAGGTCTAAGTCTAACAAAGGTCTGCACGAATTATCCTACGCCAAACAGCCATGCTTCCCAGAATCCCACTAATAGGGTCAATGATCATATTGTTCTAAATACTTTTGTATTGTTATAGGCGATTTTTAATTGAACTATAAGTCAATAACAAACCAGTGCAAAGGAATGTGCAGCATATCTTAAAATAATCTCCAAGGATTGCAAGGATTGATTGCCGACTGTTAAGTGTTTGAACAAAATTCAAAGCAAATGAATCTGTGTCATGCTTTACAATTTACATTATTTTTTCCACACGCGAGAGCACTCAAATTAATTAATAGTTGAGACCTGAACTCTGCGTCGACAAATTAATGGCTTTCAAGAACGTCGATTGAGATTTTTTAAAAAAGATGAAGATTAACTTTTTTTCAGCAGCTGTAAGAGTAACATTTACTTGAGTGTCGAAAACAAGCCCACATTTCTCTGGCGGGAAAACTCCTACGATCTTCTCAACAACGAATCAGATGCAGTTTAAGAAAGAGCGCGCTTTGGTCACTTGATTCTTGTGCTTTACGAAGGTTTCTTCCGGTGTAAACTTTGAGTTCTAACGGCGTCCGTGTATATTTCTCCTTAATGACCCCTAATTCGGATTGGCTCCAGTTTTGTTAGACCATATTGCAAGAAATGCACTCCCTTAACCAGAGGTCTATCAATCTTTCTTGTAAATTTGAATTCCACTTTAATCATTCTATAAATTATCATCAATTTGCAGGCTTTTAGCTCAATTTTTCCCATAGAATGCATGCTTCAAGTCCATCTGCATATCGCATAGGCACGTGACTGGGAAAAATGTGTCGAGTGATTTAAACAGATTGAAATGAGTCAATCTGCGCGATCCGTCTGCCCATCCTTCTTCCATCCATTCATGGATTCTTTCAATTTTTCGTTTTTTGTTCATTTATTAGTTTATTAATTCATCAATTAATCATACCTCCAAGAAACTTGCCGCTTGATGTGAACTATGGGGTCAATATCATGGGCACTAGTATCGCAGAGATCAGTGGTTCGAGTCCCGTACAGGCCTGATTTTTTTCAGGTCTGATTTTCGCTATTGCATAAATAGCGCTATCTACTGCGAAGGATCGTGCATCATACGTATTTAATACCGCAGTTCAAAATATATGAACTTCATATATTCATTGTATCTGATTTATCATCACGGGTTTATTACGAATCAACTTAACGGCCTGCTCCCAGTTGGCTTGTTAGCTCAATTGGTAGAGCGCTGCACTAGTATCGCAGAGGTCAGTGGTTCGAATCCCGTACAGGCCTGATTTTTTTCAGGTCTGATTTTCGCTATTGCATAAATAGCGCTATCTACTGCGAAGGATCGTGCATCATACGTATTTAATACCGCAGTTCAAAATATATGAACTTCATATATTCATTGTATCTGATTTATCATCACGGGTTTATTACGAATCAACTTAACGGCCTGCTCCCAGTTGGCTTGTTAGCTCAATTGGTAGAGCGCTGCACTAGTATCGCAGAGGTCAGTGGTTCGAATCCCGTACAGGCCTGATTTTTTTCAGGTCTGATTTTCGCTATTGCATAAATAGCGCTATCTACTGCGAAGGATCGTGCATCATACGGGGTCAATATCATTTGATGTTTTTTTTCCGGATGAACATTGGGCATGGAAAACAGTTCACTGTACACATAATGTCACACAACGCTCACCTATTGAGGTTAATTGCGTGACATCCCATAGAAAGTCCGGGAAGTATGAGCTAAGCAAACTACGGAATGATTTTGACGCACGCACCGTTATCATACGAATATCTGGGAAACTTGGTTATAAACAACTACTTCGTTCAAGGTCAAGTTCAAATCTACCAAGCAAGCACATGCTACCTGCTTAGAGCGACCACGATAATCAGTTGACGTCAGTGTTTATTTACGCCTGCACGTCCTCTGATTCATTGATTCTTTCGAAACTTTCGAAAATCTACGAATGGTGTATATTTTTGTAGCTACATCTTTGGATTTTCTTAATATTCCTTTGAGACTGTTGAAAATAAAAGGAAAAAAGTCTACAGACAAGCATGGTTCTTCGTTGATAGTTGACGAGAGAGGAGATGTAAACAGGAACGAAATATTTTGCATCCCATGATTACTTTCCCGCATCAAGTAATTAAACGAAATTATATCTTATAGTTAATGATCAATGCACGTACACTCATATGTAGTTGAACTATAATTCCCTCGACAAATAGAGCTTTTAGTTGCATTTCGCGCAAATTTTAAAGCAACGTATCTCAAGCTCCTCATGACTTTGAGTGACTCATAATATTTGTAATCATAATGCTATGGTGGATGACTCGGCAGAGACAATTATAGAAATGATCCATTTTGGCACGACCCTGTGGCATTATTCAGCGGTATCAGAGAACATAGATGAATCTATTTAACCCAATAGAAGTCCTTCTTACCTCCTAAACCCCTTGCTTTCTATGAATCAACGCAAGTGATAAAAAAAACACACTATGTAGTATCAAACATCTCTTGTTATAACTTTTGGGTAGGACTGCCCCTGGTGACGTCATAAAGAGGAAACGGAAAACAAACACAGATATAGGCATTTTTGAAAACCATTGCGTTAAGGGCAAATACTTTTTGCTTATCGAACGGAATCTAAAATTGTTCTGGTCTTCGCCACTTTACTCTCCTTTTGGTTAAAATGAATGCCGCCAGTGGCCATCTGATAAACCCTTGTGGTGAAAAACCGAATGGACGCTAATCGTGACTAAGTTGCGCGTTTTTGAGGGCGGTTAGGAATGGTGGTGTTTATTTCCCTCGCACCTAAACTAAATACAAAACTATTGTGGAGTGTTACATAATGCTTAGATACTAGGGAGAACGAATCACCGACGGGAAAACGAACACAATGCCGCAAAAAATTCATATACTCGACGCTTGGTGCGGTTTGATGAACTTTGTATGTATTTCACCTCACGCTCAAATGAGTTCATTTAGGGCACTGAACTTTCTACCTTTTAAACTGAATGCTCTGCATTCATGAGAGTTGAGACAATTCTTGTGAAACAGTATCGGCGACAGCAGCGGGCAAAAAGGTCAAAAGACAAAATCACAAGACAAAAGTAGATTAATTTTAATCCCCTCGATTAACTATGATCAAATGGAGGCTCAAAGTTCACGAAATGTTGGGAAAGGAGGAAGGAAATGATTGACACCAAAACACGCAGCCTGAAAAGGGGCCTTTGATGACTCGCGTCTAACAATGAACTCCTCTGCACTATTCAATTAAATTCCTCTGCGGAATGTTGTATACAATAATTATTACTTAGTTCTTATCAACTGAGCGGGAGATCTGTATGGGAGAATCTTGACCGAGGTCGCCAGTACAGACCGAACGCAGTAAAGTCTGTACCAGCGACTGAGGTCAAGATTCTCCCATACAGACCGACCTAACACGGTTAATAAGATGTTTATTATATGGCTGTGTCTTGTATGCCAATTGTTCAAGTCATATTCTTTGTACCTTTTTTTTCTAGACCGGTATAGATGCTAGTCTAGATGGGAAAATCTCGACCGCTTTCAATATTGATTTCAGCCAATCAAATTCGTGAATCTGGTAGTTCCCAGTCCTTATGAGACACAGCCCTATAATAAATGTAAATATTCAAACTTTAGGTTACTGCTGGTCGACGCGCGGCCGTCGCTTGGCTTGCCATACGGGACATTTAAGTTTTCGTGCATGCGCGGTGGTGGCATCTTCAAACGGTTGCCACGAGGCCACCGAGTTTAGAGATCTGATAATTTGATTTCAGAGAACGAATACAAAATATTTTTGCCGTATATTTTTGCTTACCAAAATAGCGAAGGAAATTAATCGAGGTAAGGTTTAAAAGGAAAGATGATATAGCTATCAATAACTGTTACAATAAATTTGAATTTTAAATTAAAAAGAGGAGGGGTGTAATTCAATGACCTCTGACGCAACATTATGTTGCGTCAGAGGTCAATATTAGCCAGTCAAATTCCGTAAAAGCGCGCGTGGTTCGGATGTTGACAAAATACAGAAAATATTAGATTTTAAAGTTCTCTCCGCGTTAAAAATTTACCTGTTAAAGGAATTATCCGTTAGGGGTGGAGGCATTGACGAGAAAAGGGAAGGAAAGGGCATTTCATCTTGTCTCTCAATCTTTCCTCTTTGAACAATTAATTTTCAAACCATTTTTGGTGGAGATTCTTTTTCAAAAGATGACTCATTAAGGCCGGGATTACGCTATCGAATTCTTTTTCTTGATTCGACTATCAAAGTGATGTACAACTATTTGAAGTTTCTACTTTTTCTTTATCGAGGATCAAAACTGTTTGTTTTACTGTTTCTTTACTACTCCATTTTATCGTTTTTATTTACTATGTTGATAAATTTACATCACTTTCGTCCAGATTTCGTAAACGACCTCTATTTCAAAATGTCGAACGTTTCACCATTTAAATCACATCAGTCCAAGCTTCATGAATCAACCTCCTTAAGTTCTGATATGCTTGCGACGAAACCATTTCATAGACTTATCATGTGAAGAATTACATCTTGTATCTTCTAATAACATCACTTTTGACTTCTGCAATGGCCGAAATGCGGGGAACGGCTTGTGGTTTATGTAAACTTGTATGCAGGTCTTATTTGCGTGAACCAATTGCGATATCCCTTTGTCCAGTGTGACACAAAAACATTGCCACTAACAAAGGGATGATTTCCTTTTCCGGAAGTTGACGAAATCTGACCTTAGCAAATTACCTTCCAGATCTGTCTGTGACTGCATGTTCCCAATTCCTATAGTAAAACTCTGGGTTCCGCACCGACGGTTTCGAAATTCATTTATCTATAGTCGCATATGTGGCTCAAGTACTAAAAAAACCTGTCTTTCACGAAAAAGAATTGGAAAAAAACAAAACAAAACAAAACAAAACAAAACAAAAACAGACAATTTTTCTATGAAAGACTCAGCGAAATCTGAGCACTCCCTGTGCCGAGATAAATCTAAGTGGGATTAGACGTTTGAATACCGGCGGATTTTCTCAGGTTTTCACCAGCTTTAACCAAACCCAAAACCAAACTTCTGTGATCAGCGCAACATATAAAGCCGATTTTCGGTAAAATTTTTCTTTAATTTCCATATTAATCTTTTTAATCTTAATTTCTCGGGTAGAAAGTTAATCTTTCTTCGAGGATGCAAGAACGTTGGTCTAACACGGGAATTGTTGTATTTACCGTCGCTAGGAGACTGAAAACATCTTTAAAAAAAGCCATTTCCGAAAAATGGTCCTCGCGATATCTGACTGACAAAATCCCCGAGACATATGACTAGAACGGTTGTCAGAATTATTAAAAGCAACTTGATGTATTCACAACGAAAACAAAAAATTTTCTGAAATAAAAGGAGGCAATTTCCCAGAATTAATTCTCGTGATGTCTGCCAGAATATTTATGAGACATTTAGCATAACTGAATAGTTTTCAAAATTACGTGTGCGCAAATGAAAATGCTACAGCACTAGTTATAGAAAACTATTCGAGTGATTTTTTTAGTTAACGAATTTTTAAACAGAAACCCACAAATAGAAGCCCACAAATTATTGCCAATGTGAGGTAACCGAAATACAAAATCGTCAAACGCGACAACTGCCTGTATAATTAAACTTGTAGAAAATCGCGCAATTAGGCGACAAAATCGTTTAAACTCGTTGGTTTCAGAATGCACTGAACTTTCGAAAGGGTCTTTTCAGATACTGATGTAATACTGAAAAACGTCATATAATCTCCTTGGTTTCAGAGTGCACTGAACTTTCGAAAGGGTCTTCTCAGAAGCTGCATGTAATAAAAACATTGAAATCACCTTCGGAGAAACGGTTTTCCGACTGCCAGACCTATATGGTACAGTAGCTATCTAAATATAAAACATAAAATGTACGCTATGCTGGAGCTTGATAAAAGGGCCTGATCACGATGATTTTTTTTTTCTCGATCCATTTCAAAGTTCATAATGGCTGCTTCGATAAACAAATATATTCGAAGGAGCTTGTTTAATTATTAAGTTCTAAACATCTGAAAAAAGGTTTTCTTGTGTTTAGAAAGGAGTATTGCCCATAGATTAAGTTTATGCATTATTGACGCGCCTAATAATTCCGAAGTTTGCTTCATTGTACTCCCCTTAAAATATCCTTTTAAAAAATCTAATATCTATTCTCTCAAACTGCAAGAGCGACCCTAACTGACGAACTTACCATGAGCGATACCTCCCTGAAAATATATGCCCAAATATTCTAACGTTTGCAGCTTTCAGACGGTTTATCAGTGGAGGGCCAACTTCCGTGCCAAATGCAAAACGAATAAATATTCTTACAAATAATGTACGGTTCTACATAGAAACTCGACCAATTCTCTTTTGTTTATCCAGTTAAAACGCAAGCCTTACCGAGTTTTGAATTTAAATATTGATATAGGTTTCACTTCAGCAATTGGCTGAGGATAAAAGCGATGGACAGCAATGGTATCGCAGATGTAGAAAATGGAATAAATTACAACACGTTTTGCATTTTCTGTTGACAGCTTTGGATATCGATTCGATTAAATTTCTTGCACTCAGCGGCTTTGATTCTGAAAGATTAAGACCAAAACTTATATAGCTCAGTGCGTAATCTTTCTCGCAATCCTCGATTCGAAATCTGCAAAGAGACGAAGAGGGAAAAATAATAATTTGAAAATGTTCCTGTGATTGAAATATTACGAGAAATTACAGGAGTTCCTCCGCAACCGTCAGATTTCAATTCTCGGCTAGATTCGATCTTTAGTAACGACTAGAATACTGTGAAGAAAAAGTGTTGCAACACAACCAGAAAGTGATTAGGCTAGATAAATATGATCTTTTTAATCCTGTGTTATTGGAACGAGTTGGGGCGTGTGTGGCAGAGATCATGGCAGCCGATGAAAACGATTTGTATATCTTTGTTTATCAGGATAAATCTGCAAGCGGTCCATCTCAAATAATTAATATAATCTGATTTGCTACGCCACTTGCTTACCATTCTACTCTCTCTATTCCTTGATAGATAATGAAAAGGGGGTAGTGAGTGTAGCTGTAAAATACTAAAATATAAACTTGAAGCTGTACTTGGCATTAAGTTTTGAATGACCAGTAGATAAATACAAATACTGCTTTTAAAAACAGCTTAAAAACGTTAGATCTCACAGGACTGAGTGCGACGTGCCTCTATTCATATTCAATTTTTACCGTGTTTATAATTTTCATATTTTTATATATCTTAAACGTAGTCTGACGAAACTGGTTGAATTTTTATATTGTAATATTAGTTAGTTTTTAATCTTAACTTATCTTACATTTATAAACTTTCAAAAAGCTTTTATTTGTTTTCATTTTTTCCTACTTCTTTTTTTTTTTCCTAGCGTACCTGTGAAATAGCTTTTTAACCAAGCGTAGGGACCACGTTAAATACATTGATTGATTGATTGATTGATGCTAAAACAATTAGATTACTCCCTCTTGATTTCTCTGCGAGATGGCTGACTCGTGTTAACTCTCACCATCCATGACACGATAGAAATATCGAGCTTATTATCTATTTGTTTAATTTCTTATGTAAAAACTCATGTGTAGCAACCAGAGGCCCAATCAGTTGGACTATTATCATGTTCTTTATCAAATCTTTCCAGTCGCGAACGCGCAGGCTGAATTTACTAGTTTTCACCGGAAGATCAAATCGAGACGCTGAGAATTCTTTGAAGAGTTGTCTACCAACTGAGTTGGTAGGCAACCTCAGCGCGAAACCATGCAGCACGTACGTGATTTTCCTATCATGAAAACATTGGCAAAGTTTTTAAATATGAGAATAATTTGTCACATTTGGTTGCAGGTGGAAACATCGTTTCCAAAACCGCACACGGCGGGGGGCCATATGACTATGACTTTTTCTGGTCTTAGTCGATTTTAAGATGAGTTTTCGTTTTGGTCTCTCCAAATCTCCGTAGTTTTTCTTTAATTCACTTTTGATCCAAGTTTTTTATATTTTGAAACTAAGATGACGATGGTTGCTGGTATCATTAATAAAAAGGTAGTTTCTTCTTCGTAGTCCTCATCATTTCATCTCTTCTTAGAGCGTCGTTTGGAGTAGCTTTTCGGTTTAGATATGTTCCTGTTCTGATGTACTCGAATTTCCTCTCGCATAAAAAGCAGCGGGTTTCTGGGGCATTCGAGTCTGCAACTTAAAGGGATTTGGGAATGAGAGTAGAGGCCAGGCCTTCTCATACTTTGACTCGACCAACTCAAAAGATCAGGCAAGTAACAAACATTTTTTATCACTGCAGAATAATGTGCGTGAAATAATTTTAATGCAGAACACGAACCTCTACGGAAAATCCGTATACGTTTCCTTAAAAATTTTCCCTCAACTAAATCAGCCAAATACAATGAATATATCAAATTCATATATTTTGAACTGCGGTTGTAGATACGTATGATGCACGATGCTAAATCATACGTATCTACAACTGCGGTTGCGGTTGTAGATACGTATGATGCACGATCCTAAATCAGCCAAATTCCAACCTTTTGCTGCAGAAGTTCGCAGAAGCAAACGGTCGATTGAAACAGGAATTGAAAATTAGGAAAGCTATTTTAATGGAAAAGAGTTGGATCGGCCATGCACATGCGTATAAATCCACTTAAATGCTGTCAAGTTCAACGCTGTCTTTGATGTGGGAGTTGATGGTTATTCTCGTCTCCAGGTCCTCTTGTGTTCAAAAGAAACGAGGACTCTGGGATCGAGAATGGCTGTTTGCAAGTTCTAGTGCCAGACAGAAGCCGTCCGTGCGTGCGCACAGTCTGGTCGTCAACGTGACGTCACGAGTGATTGTCGACGTACTCTTGAATAGTGTAAAATGCCAACGGTTTGTTTTGATTGCAGCTACAATGCGGCGCCCGTCAGCCGTTTCCTTCTTTTTATCAATTTCTCTTTATACGCGAAATCGTTTAAGGGAAGACACACCACAAATGTAATACAAAACCGAGATTTGGTGAAATGGCCTCCTTTCTCATGGAGGGTAATGTTACACTGCTCTTGGCAATACTTTGTATTGTCTGCTGCACGGGTATAGAGGGAAAAGGAACCCTACAAGGGGATCACATCGTTTTTTCTCCATTGCGTAAAGGAAGTAACTACACACTGGGGAGAACCAAGAGCGATTGGTTCCTGTCCAGTTATGATTCGGTCGCTGAAGCTGTGGTTTTATCATTGAATTCTTCTCCTCCGTACGGTAAGAGATTTCATGAAGTCATTAGCGCGACAAATGGAAATTATGCCTTAAATTGGCTCTGTTAGTGATTCCGAGGGAACTTTTTCGCAGTTTGGGGAGCCATTTGAAGGTAAAAATTGGCGAGGTAAAGATATTTCCGTGTGCAATAGCCTGTGTAAAGCAGCATTCAAATTCGTGACAGAGTCACTCATGTGTATTAAACCATAACCATTTTAAACGCGCTTTATCTTTCAAGTTTGTAAATCGCCTGGCACTTTTCTTTATATCAGGAAATTAATATCTAAGCTTTGCAAAATTAGGAGACCAAGGAGAGGAAGAAAGGCATTGTTATTTTAAGATTTTTTTTCTGGCGAGATTTCAAGTGTAATTACAATTTATCAAAATCATTTTTATCTTATTCACTCAGGAAAGTCTTTAAACTTTTCTAAACATTTAGCCACTTTCCATTCTCTTGGTTTAATATAGAAAGTCTGGCGCAAAAATATTACTAAAATTTCCATTTAAAACGGAAAATAGTGAGATATTTTTAGAGCTTTACTTTGTTATATATTCTATTTTCTTCAATAATTTAGCGCCTGCTATTTTTCGAAATCCACTGTTGACGAATGAAATGACCCTGTTACTTTCTATTTTTCTTAATTTTCAAGACTGGAAACAAAGCTTCCCCATCCTTTTTAGCACTCAAAAAACATAGGCCGTGTATTACTCTCTCAGTTTCTTCATTGTCAAAATCATTGACTTTTTCTTTAACCTGCAAAGCCACCCTTAAAAGATCAGAAGTTAAGTTTGTAAGGAAACCTGCGACTTACGGCGATGTTTACAACAGGGGCAGTGCAGGGTAACCATTGTGCAATTTTCGGTACCTGCAATTTGGCTCAGGTATCTGGAGAGATGTTCTATTGTATGATGGCGAGTTTATCGTACTTTTAAACATACGTGGCCGAAAACAAATACAATCAAAGCTCTTTCTTTTCATAAATGCTAATCACTGAGTTTTTAGCCCCCTTTGCGAAATTCGATAAAATTTCATAAAGGTCTAAGTACATTACCCAGACTTTCAATGAACACAACTTTTATTTGCTAACCGAACTAATTAAATCTGAGCCGATGTGGTTCAGGTTGATTCAGTCCTTACACACAGCCCCTATATTCTTCATCTCGCACGATCAGAATGCTTCAATTTCGAACAACAGGAGATTTCTTAAATTTTAAATCAAATTGAATCTAGCAACCTCCAGTTCTTTACTAGATTTATTGAAATTGTGATACGAAAGAGCTTCTTTGCTGTCCTCCATAGCCCGGTGAATGGACATAATCAAATCTTCAGATAGCTTTACTCCTGCCAGCGTATTTCATGAACTTTGAGATCTGGTTTTAAAATAAAATGACTCGATTCAAATTTTCAGTAAATGAGCTCAAAGAATATATAACTGTCCGACCATGCTATGCATGTCAGCGTAGAAAACGTGAGAATTCTCACAACCATCTGCAGCAATCTACAGTTCTTCCGTATTATATTTTACAGATGCCATTAAAGATGGACTGCGAACTCTCCAAGGGATTAATAAATTTACCGCTGGGGACATCGCGAAAAAGGTAAAAACTACCTAATCTAAACAAATCCTTTTAGTAACTATCGAAAAATTAAATTGTTAAAGAAATTCGAAAAGTGTGAGAATTATCTGTACTCAAGATCATTTATTTTTGCTTTTCTTTCTCTTCAGGCAATTACTGAGAATCCTCCTTTGACACTTCTGACATCTGTCTCGCTCATAAGTGCCTTTGTAATACCGCTGGTCGGTATCACGTTTGGCTGCTTTCGGTGCAAGGGACAATGCGGCGGTGCGCTGATTGAGGAGGATCTGGAATCGAATCCAAAGAAACGTCGGCAAATGTTCACAGCGGCGATTTCCATTTGCACGGCTATGATTATGTAAGTTCCACGTCTGCTAAGCGACCATATTAAAGGTTTCTCATTGGAAAACGCAACTGAGGCACGCTGATAACTGCAATCTTCATTTTTTTCAGGATCGCTGCTTTTTCAATCAGTCTGATTAACGACAGGACTGAAAATGCAGCCCCGGCTTTGGATTCTCTATTTATGGCCTCCATTGTGGATATCGCGATATACAAAGAGAATACGTTAAATGTAGGCTTAAAATTCTCTTATACTTGTAATTCCGACACTAAAGGCTTGTACTTCGTTAAAAATTATGGAATGGAGGATTTTTCACATTTTAGTCTTATAATCTAGGCTACAGATCATTTGCCTCCTTTTTTCGATTCCTTATATCATAATAGATAATCTTTAAGCCTTTTGTGACCTTTTGTTAGGTATTCGCGACAGTTACTACCATTTATTGATACTCCTGAAAAGAGAAAAACGATATTTTTCTTATATTTCGTTCCTTATACATTTTTCTTACCTCTAGGCGATAAATAATGGCTAGTCTCTAAAATCAACAGGACCGAGATAAAAAAAAAAAACTGATCAAACTTTGGATACGAAAAAAAGCGAACCATCTGCAATGAGAATCTGACTGAGTTGGTAATTAACATCATTGAATTTCCTCCCAGTTCATTGGCCCAACGGAGGAGGGTCATCGGCTCATAACTCTGTTGCAGCAAATATAGCAAGTGGGATCGTCGTACCGTGAGCTAAAACTGCGCATGGCTTAAAAATGACGTTAGTAGTTTAGGAGGTTAATTTTTTCAGTTCGTTAAACCAATCAAACCAGCATGACAGGTCATCTTCAGAGTTAAAATCGGAATTGAGAGAAAGCGAAAGTGACACAGTTTAACTTATAGGATAATTTCATAGAGCTTTATTATGCTGATATGTGACATTTTATATGTTTTCTATCTAGGAAGTATCTGAAGTAACTGGAGAAAATATGAATTTTACGATCGGTCTTATAACCCAGGAACTGAATTGTAAGTTGTTCCAAGTGACATCTGATTTATACTGCATGAATTGAATACCGATAAACATGGACTGTGATCTTCCAAGAGCGAAATCTTGTTATGAACCAGTAAGAGAAACAGTGTGCATCACTAAAAGAGAAATCATCTTCTGGATAAACTGTAATTACCTTTAAAACCTGTCATTATTGTGTTATAGATTTACCGGTTAATATAACAGCACCAGTCATAAAACGGGCTGACGATGCCGCAAAAGCAGTTCTGGACAACGTGAAAGAACTGGGATCAAGTAAGTGTCCTTCATTACTGACTGGCCTGATTTACTCTCAAAGTTGTTTCATTTAGTAAATAAGTCACGTAGTGTACCTCATCCCAGATTACTCTTTTATCTTAAACATAGAAGAAACGGTGAAACAAAATGATTGAAATTGCTACCTGAGATTAGCGACTCGTTAAGAAAGAGAAAAAAGGATAGGATAAAAAAGGTGGTATGTTTTGCCAAGGATGATATCCAAAGAGAAAATCATACAATACTTATGTTCAGTCATTTTTTGTCAGGGGGGAGGGGGGCTGAAGAGGGGGGCTGAAGGGTTTTGGCTGTGTCATGATAAAGGGCACCTGCCCCCCCCCCCCCTCACGCCAGACTCCTTAATATTCTTATGAACTTGGCAGTCAATTTTCTATTGTCCTCCCTTTGTACTCTATTGGCGACGAATGATCCCCTTTCCGTTCCCCCCCTTGAAATCATGTGATCCCCGGAATCCTTTACTCTCCCCGTCCCCACGTGGCTTTTATTGCTTCGCTCTGACGAAGGCCGGTCTAACGCTCGATAGTGTCAGCTTTTAAACTCTTTACGGTGGCAAGTTTACATTATGAACTCGGCTGATAGAACCAAATTACCTTGTTACCCCCACCGACGCAGCACCACAGTTTCTTTAGAAACTTTCCCCGTTTATTCATTTGCCTCTTATTGAAACCACTTCCCTAAACGATCTTCAGTTAAAGCCTACAGTGGGGCATACTGATTTTATTAAGACTATCAGCGCGGTGGGGATCCAATCTCTTCCATTGATCTTCTCTTGGATTGTGTCATGATCTGTTTTGCAGAGCTTGGAGACCTAAGAGACTCTATAAAAGACGTGGCAGATATTGTTCAGAATTTACGAATGCTTGGCCAGAAACTCCGCGATGGTTTGAGCGAGGTGCGAAAGAACTTGACAGACGCAAAATCAGAATGTAACAATGATGAGCCGTCCAAAACGGCTGGTGCTTGTGACAAAATTCCCACTGAGGACCCCTTAGAGGCTGATGCAGACTTTAATAAGGTAAGGCTACGAGCTATATACAATCATCTCAACTCTTGGTTTTAAAAAAAGGAATATATTTCTCGTTTCTAACAGACTTTATGCTTACCCCTCGTCGGAGTTTTGCCTCGAAACCAAATCGAACCCTTTACCGCAAACTAGGAAGATTTGTCAAAGTATACGAACCACCGCTAATTGCACTGGAGAAAAAGTCATTGTTTGCTTTGCTTTTCCTTCTTGCACTCTCCATAACTGCTCGAGAAAAATTGAAGCAACCTCTCGACCAATCATATGGAAAGCAAGTCAATCACGCAACCTCGGTCCCTGGGTATAACGACTTCTGCACAGATCAATGTCCGTCTCTGAGCAACTGCGCGCCCACCCCTCCCCTAACCCAACATTAACCTTGACTTAGGTCATTCAGTTGTTGCGTTAGGAGAGAGGTAGGCATGCAGTAGCTCAGATTCTTATATTGATGCCAGTTTATAAAATTCTTAGTTGTTTTAACGCCAAGGATGACGCCGAGGGGCGCGGCAACAAAGTTCTTTTAAGACCTTTACTCAATTCTCAATCTATGACGCAAAATTTTGTCGTAAGTTAAAGTCTCAAACAACATGTTATCTCATGAGACGTCGAATGTTAAGAATCTTTCTTTACATTACTTGTAAAGCAGATAATATACAAGGACAAAGAATTCGAAAAGATGTCTATAACTTAATGCGTAATCAATTTGGGTTGTTCCTCATGTTCAGAATGTTTTGTTTGCATTGCGTGACAGCTCATGACGAGTGTGACTTGGCGGCCTCGCCTTATTCAGATTAGTTTACCACGTGCAGAATGTTTCGGTGACGTTCTTTTTGTTTTGGGTTGTTGTTGTCGCAAGAAAGCGAGTGAAGTTGTCAGCATTAAAACCAGAATTTCAGAGACATTGTGTGAGTTAATTTGGTGTCACAGAAAACGTTTTCCACACCAAAAGTGGCGACCCTGCCAGGACACTACATTACGGGACAGGAGACGAAAGGAATTGCAAAAAAANGGACGTTGAAACTTCCATGAACAACAGACCACTGTCTTACCAAGGGGAAGAGTTTGAGCAGCCAGTGCTCACCCCAAACACCTTACTGAGAGGGAAACCGACACCCATTCTAGAGGAGGACCTTGAGAAGATTGGGGAAGATGATGCTACTAAACGGATGAGGTTCCTACAGAAAAGTAAAGAACAACTTCGAAAGAGGTTCATGAAAGAGTACGTCCACGCCCTTGATGAGAAACAACAGCGGTCCACAGGGGACATTGATAAGACACCAAACATAGGAGCGGTAGTGTTGCTGAAAGGCGATACGAAGGACAAGGCCCTGTGGAAGCTGGGACGAGTAGTAAGCAAAATTTCCGGCAAGGATGGGATAGTGCGTGGTTTGAAGCTGAAGCAAGGGAACGGTTATGTGGTGGAGCGACCTTTACAACTCGTGTGTGACCTAGAGATCGGGGGAGAAGATCCGCACTGGAAACCGAACCCGCAAGCAGAACCATTCGTTCCAAGAGTGCAACCAAACAGAGTGTCCAAACAGATTGCTAGGGATTGGATTAGGAACATTACACAACAAGACGACATTTAAGCTGTACACTTAAATGGGGGGAGGGTGTTCAGAATGTTTTGTTTGCATTGCGTGACAGCTCATGACGAGTGTGACTTGGCGGCCTCGCCTTATTCAGATTAGTTTACCACGTGCAGAATGTTTCGGTGACGTTCTTTTTGTTTTGGGTTGTTGTTGTCGCAAGAAAGCGAGTGAAGTTGTCAGCATTAAAACCAGAATTTCAGAGACATTGTGTGAGTTAATTTGGTGTCACAGAAAACGTTTTCCACACTCATTTCATACTTTTTTTTTGGTCCTTTAAGGTTCCAGGTTTGACTCAGGAGTTGTCAAAGCTTGAAGGAATCCTTGCTAGAAACGACTTTGAAGCACAAAGCGCCCAGGTGAGTATCTAGTACAGCTTTATTCTGCAATTATTGGACTAGGACCTTGGGATAAAATTAACTTTGAATGATTTAACTTGTTAAATACAAATGTTTATACTTTAGGGACAAATTAGATTTATGTCGATGACATCAAAAGTCAACGAGAAGACGCTGGCAGGAAGGGAAGGTGAGTTTGTGCTTCCTAACTTGAATTCGGAACAAATCCAACAATTCATTCCAGAAAAAGAAGTTTAAATGGTTCACTCTTCTTCCTCTTTCAGAGATAACAAATTTTACCAAGGAACTTCAAGATTTTGCTGCAAAGATGGTAAATACGTTGGGAGACGCTGGCGATTCGGTAAGGTCCTTCATTAGTATTATCATTAACATCGATAAACGGCAGTAAAAGAAACAGATAATAACCAAAAAAACAATAGCAACAAAACAACGCCGTATTCAAGTTGTGCTCCCTCGTGCATTATAAAAAGGTGATGTTCTGACTCAGCTCAAACATCTGCTATATCTGACGTTCAAGACTACCAAGGATTTCGCGATCGATGAACCCAGGAGCCTTCAAACTGACTGTTACCCCGCAGAGAATAGAACCAGCTCGGCCCAAACAAATTTTGTCAGTTCTTAAAACTCACACATTCTATTTAAAATATATCTAAAATCTGCCCAGCTCATCTATGACAAGTGGACAGCAGCCCGCATTTGCTGATGTTTTTGTTTGATCTCGGGATTCCAGCCCCTCATGCTCTGCGTTCCTCTTGGTTGCTATGTAAATGAGCAAAATTGGTCAAGGCATCCTGGCGAGATACTCTTGTTCATGTCTGGGCGCATGTCAGACCAAAATGTACTCACTAAACTTACCGTGTTGTTCCGGCATTGAAATATGCAGACATTTTACTTTCTTCTCTTCCCAGTTACAAACAGAAATTTTACTGCCAATGAAAACCGAAGTCCACAGTACATTCGGTAGAGGAGGACTGTTTAACAGATACGATAAATACAGGTATTTAGTGATATTTTAAACGAATTGCAGGGAGGATTTGAAAGAATATATTGCTAGTGTGTTAACGTCATACGCAATCCCTGTATTGTCAATTTTTTCAAGTGGCTTACACTGACGGTTTCAGGCCACAGTTCATCTTGAAAGTTTATTTGCTGTAAAGCGAAAAATGAGTTTGAAAAGATGAACGAATTTACTGTTTCAGTATGAACTCTCGATTCTGTTGGTTCGTGCCCGTAACATGTTGAACTTTTCCCAATTTCCGATATAAAAATAGGGATGATACAAGTGTTACTACTCCCAAATCAGCTGAGGGCTCCACGTTCAGTTTTGATTTCAAATTTGCGCTCCTTTCAGATAAGCACCATTGACAAGATTTGTCAAATATCTTTGTGTCAAATATAGACAATAATTTCAGAGGACTGACATAGAAATATTTCATTTACAACTAATTTTTTTAATGCAAACTGGCCTGTATTAACGATATTCTTTTATGTTCCAGATGGATTACCCTTTTGTCAATCTCTCTTGCTGTGGTGTTTGTTGTTTTGTTAACATTCCTGTCTCTCATATCTGGAGCTCTTGGTGCCAGTCCTTCGGATACGCCAAGTACGCGCTCGAACATTTCAAACTGCGCGGGGAATGCGCTCATGTGGTAAGGAGACATTTCTCAACCAATATGGACTCAGTTGTGTATTTTTAACTGACCGACTCATTTAACAGTTCAACTCTATGAAAAATATAAGAATCAGAACGTGGATTTTGCGATTCTGACCAAATACATAAGGCAATAGCATATACCTTTCGTCGACACCGTTGATACGAGCATAAGAATAGAAAAATGAAAGGGTACTTCAGTGTGTTTTTTTTGAAACTCTTTAGTCCGACCACCCCGTTTTGAGCATCGCCACGTCCTGTTATTGGTCTAGAAAACTCGTGCCATTCTCTTAACCAATCAGATACGATGTAAAAACAATCGCTTTATGGTTGTATACATTTCCCTGGGCATGAAGTCATGTATGTGTATTTTACTTTGTGTTCTTACTGGTTCCTTTTTATTTTGATCTTTGGTTTCTCAAAAAGACTCTATTCCGGCGAAGCTGTTCATTTAATTATGTCCATTATTTTGTTTTACCCCATTTCATTTTCTTCTAATTTATAAAGGCTGATAGTTTCGAAATTTATTCTAATTTACTCTTGTTTTTCTCGTGGCCATCTTCCCACCAATAACGTAGCTCCATTTTCCACCTTTAAAAGCACGCACAACCCACAATTCCTCTATTCGCTCCGACGAAGGGCTAACGCTCGAAACGTCAGCTTTTGTAATCGTTACGGTGGCCAATTTACCATTTCAACTTTGTTGATATATCCAAATTATTCTAATTTAGTTTCACACTTTCCTCTCTTTATGTAACGTTATTAAACCAATAATTTACATTTGATAATGATGACATGTCGTCGCCGAAACGTCATGTTTTAATCACGCTACTTTTTCATTATAAAATGTTATCTTAAATTTTTCGTTATCCGTGTTTTGATTGGTTGTGTTCAAACTTTACTTTTTGGTCCAACGACACTCAATCCAAACACGCTCTAATACTTGATTATTAATCAAAGATTTGTTTTTTTTTAATCTCATTTTTCTTCCGTAGTGTTGTTGGTCTGTATTTCTTCAGTTCTTTCTTTCTCAATCTTATTCTGGCTGTTACATTTTACATCGGAGCCAACGCAACGATCCTCTGCAAGTCAGCCGCTGACCTTAGCCTGCTAGAAAACGTAAGTTACGATAACCTTATTACAATATAAGATTTTATTCATTGTTTTTTTTTTTT